TGGTTGTAAAGCAATACGTCTAGTGAGCCTGCTTCAACAGGGCAGTGTCGCTGTATGAATTCTCTTATCCTAAGCTCCTGCTATTGGGGCTTAGAACTCACGCGGCGGGATCATGTTGATTGAAGAAACAAATACATTCAATCGTTTAGACCACAGGGTTCACCTTACCATGGGGCACTTCCTCATTTAAGTCATGTTGGCATGCAGTTGGAAAACTGACACAGTTATGTTGGCTTCGTCTGTCCGTGGATCCCTCGGATGCCAAGCGAGTTTTGGCAAATCAACACCCACCGGCAGCCCACCTAAGCATTAGACACACAACGTGAGCGGTGAATATACGTAGTAACATGACGCTGGCTAAGATGGCGATCTATTGATTCCTACTCTCAATGGAATTTGGAAGTATGTACATGCCCTATAAGTTGCAAAGATCCTCTCTCTGTCAGTGTGTAGGCACTTTAGGCCGACACTCAAAGTGCGGAAGATCCTGCGTTGTGGATTTGGACAGGGACTTAGTAGCTAAAGCATACGCTGCGACTTTCCCAGTTCAACTCCACAGGGTCCCAGAGCTGCTTCTCGAGGGTCACCGAGGACTCACCAAAGACAACGTTACAGTCGACAACATGCCGCTGGTCATTCGTGATACGACCCGCTGACGCCATCGTATTCACCCACTCCATGATGACAAGGAATGCACTTGTGTCCCAGAGCCCATCACGTCGAGGAAAGTCCTTGAAGAGTTGGACGATAGCATGTCTCACCCCAGGCATTGTGCACATGAGAAACACAGTACACAGAGGCCAGGTCGGGCCGTCCTCGATCGTGAAAATTTCTGTTGCCTCTGCGCCTTTCCGATTCTCGGCATCGTGCACCTCGAGGAGCTGCCTGCTCATCGATATGATGTCCATAAACGCGGGCGTGATGCGCTTGGTGTCCTCCACATCGGTCCAGCCGGCACAGCGTATCACACTCCAGAGGTACAGGTAGTGTATTCTGAGGCTGATGGCCTTGTAGTAGCTCTTGAAGTCCGTTTCCTTTTCGGTCTCTGCTTTGACGGCGAGCGGTTGGAAGGCATGGTGCCAGGCGTCGGTGAAGCGTACAAAACTCCGGACGCGCGCCTGGGAGCTCGGCGAGGTGTACTCGAGCGGCGGCTTCTCTGGTATTGGCGCGGTCGACCCCTCAACTATGAACCCAGTGTACAGCGGTGCATGGTGCTCGACGTGGTGGCGAACGACATTCCACCATCGGCGGGCAGCTTCCAGCGTCTCAAACGTCGCGGGCATCTCGTCGACGGCGTACCGCGTCTTGCGTCCGCGGCAACACCACGGTACTCGGCTCTTTGTCTCCTTTGGGTGCGATCCGCCGTGGGTCCAGGATTGGAGACTCAGATACTGGAAACTCGTCATCACTTCTTCCAGCAGAGGGCTCGATTCCGCGCCTAGGTTTTGTGGGCATTGGTCAAGGATTCGGGACCCGTGGTTGATGTGGTTCAATCCGGCTGCCTTGTTGCCTCGGAAACATTCGAAAATGATGAACAAGAGGCATGCTAGTAATGTACGTTCGAGGGACATTGGTGTTGAGTAAAGAATGTTCATCGATTTCGTGTAATGAAACAGAGCGTCCGAGTCAAATCTACCTCGACCGAGGAGACGTTGTTCTCGCGTAGTAGCACCCAGGGCCGCGGCGCCTACCGCCAGAGCTGCGTGTTTGATGGCCGGATCGTTCCATGAGAGTTGTGGGATGATTTGTGTGAGTAGATCGGATCGGAATAGAATGGCGGTGTTGGTGAAAGATAGCCAGTAATCGAAGGAGTCCTTCTCCAACTGGCTCGAGAAGACGAGAGTCGCGTAATTTGGCTCAAGGAGTACATCGAGGACTTTACGATTCTCTTGTTTCGGCTTGGGATACAGCAACCGATGCTTGGGTGGTAACTTGGAGGGCTTGGTTTTGTTCTCTTTGTACCCTCCACAGTGGCCTTGATACTTCAAGCAGGCCGCGCATGCTGGTCTACCCTCGTCGCACTTGACGCGGCGAAGTCTAGAGGTGATATGAGTATCGCTACTAAGATCGAATGAGGTGAACCCTCAATTTGTGACTTACTTGCAGGTGACGCAGCCACTACGAACCTTTGGCTTGCTGGCTCGGACTTGTTGTGGTTTTGAGTCGAGGGCAAACTTTGTGATCATGGGGCGAAGATCATTCATGGCAACTTGAATGGACAACCTGTAGCCGTATAACTTGCTGCGCTTAGCTTGTTCAACGGGTGATAAGTGGTGCAAGAGTCGTTCATTTTATGCGAGTATCATAGTCTCGAGATGAAGAATGATGTCGAGTAAAAGGCGGAATGGTAGCCGGGATGATAATCCTGAAGCGGGTGATGTTAACATTTTCGGTTGACCGGTAAGGGCTTGCCAGGGTTACCTCCGGCATAAGCACTAGCGCAAGTCTGGCCAGATCAAATCATTATTACCCTACAGACACCACGATAGCAACGGTGCAATGGGTCTCTTTATTTTGCTGCCTGGCTCGGCTGGAATCCTTCGAAATCCGGACCGGATTTTCGTCCAACGGCCATTAAACCCGTCTGGATACAACACCTCTCAGAGCTGTACTGAGATCCGAATCAGGATATATTTTTCATATTGGCGCTTAGTTCCGTTACTCCCACGTTGTCAGACTCCTGCCACCCATGTCGACTTCCCTTTAGACAATAAAATCAGAGTCCGAACCATGTGGGGCCAGAGTTGTATTCAATACGATCCTAGTGAGCATGAACCAGTAGATTGACATTAACCTAACCAGACGTCTTTGGCCTCAACATGTGACGATCCTGGTTCCCTCAATAACGGCCGTAACTATGTCACATCTCAACGGTCAGCTAAACTCATGGTATACCGAACCGACGAGAAGGAGTCAACTCCGGAATCTGCCCACTGCTGATTCGTGAACTTCAACCGCGGCACTCCTAACAGCGGATTCAGATACTGACTTTGTTTAGGCAGCTATCAGGAACCTTGCCCTTCTAATGTCTGTCTCTCTATTCGTCTTCCATCTAATCCATTGCGCCAGCGAATATTCAATACAGCTTGAACACTCATGGCTGCTGCTGCAGTAGCAGCCGCCACAAATCAGTCGTGTTATGATGGACCCCGCCCGAGGGAGTCTGGGTAACGTACCCAGCCTCCAAGCAGTAGTCGCAATCCCTTCACTCCACATGAGTGTTTATCGAGTTCTCACAAACTTGGTGTGCCTTCCGTTGGCCACCGTAGCGCCCCTTGTCCCATCCGCTGGGTTGACCTTGTAGATGTTGACGTGGGTGAACGCCAAGCTGCCCCCGACCTTCTCAACCTTGCCCTCAATCTCAATCTCGTCTCCCAATTTGGCGCCTGAAAGGTAGCTGATGTTGATGTCGACGCTTACGCCCGTCGCCTCACGGAGATCCCACGCTGCGATTGCCAAGCCGCCAGCCCAGTCCACGATGGTCGCTGAGACACTGCCGTGGATGCTGCCTGACGAGTTCAGGTGGTTGGCGGTGATGGGCAGACGCGCGATAATGAGTCCTTTTGAGGCGTGAGTGAGCTTCAGGCCAGGGTTAAAGAGGAATGCGTAGATTGGGGATGCGTTGCAGCGGGTTGAGATGTAGTTCTCGATATGAGCGAAGGTGGCGGGGTCTGACTGCGCAGAGGGGCCGGTGGCCGGTGGTGGTTGAGATGGCGTGGAAGACATTACGATGGCGTTTGCGAGTTTCTGACTGTTGGGATTGATAATGACAGAATCCGAGACAGTAAAAGAAGCGATTCGTGATGCCGGAGGTCAACGACACTGTTGAGTTGTTGAGTGACACAATCCAGGAGCGAAGGCACGTGCGCCAAAGATTTCTCTACGGTCGGGCGGACTCCGTCCGAAGTCGGCCCCGAGGGCCCCGCTTTTGCCGTCAAAAGGGAAGAACTGCATCACTGGCACTAGATTTGCCCAGCTCTGAACGCCGCAAGCAAAACCCAAATGGAGAGACTTCGAGATCCCTTGTACGATGCGATCGCGACGACATGTCTCTGAATATTCGAAGCAAGTGGCTAGGGAGTCAATCGAATACAATTAGCCGAAACGTTCAAGGCGAATCATGTTTTCCGGAAAGCTCACCAACCATGGGCAATGAGGAATGCCAGCACCCGCAGCACAATACACAACGGGCTTGGTGATGTAGATGGCAGAACGACTACTAATGAGGCAACGTTGAAGCTGGTATCAGAAACACGGTCCGTCGGCAATTGCAACCAATGAAAATAACACAAGGTGAAAGCCGCCGCAGTTAACTCGGATAAACAACCGCGGCTGGAAAGCGAGTAATGCAGGCGGGACGCTGCTCGAAGTGACGACATTCGCATGGCGCTGATTCTATCCAACTTGGGCTGGTGTCAGTTGCAGATGTGCCCTAGCCGTTGTGTGGAACATTTAGCAACATGGTCGATCATTGGACTGGTTTCGCCAGCGTGGAGCCAATTCCGTGTCAGCAAGCAGGGGTTCCTTCGAGGCCGTTATGTCCGGCCGGGTCGAGATGTCGGTTTAGACCCACTCGGCGAGCCGACAAATGTACGCTGCCGTGGACCGATGTTTGTATAAGTGAAGACGGTGGTCACGATTTGCTGGGAAACTTGAGATCTGTAAGGCTCTCATTCTTCAAGTCACGTTGTTTCTTGTAACTCGTACTAACAAGATGGCAAAATCAGAAATAGCACCAGCAACCTTTGCAGTCGACGAAAAAAGGGCTGAAGGGGAGAGCGTTCCAGTTGTCGTCAGTTGGGAAGGAGATGACGATATTGAGAAACCAACAAATTGGTCGGTGTCGAAGAAGTGGATCAATGTCCTTCTCATATCAACACTGACTCTAATCTCGTAAGTTTCTCTCCAAGCATAGAAGAGTTCGTGTTGTCTCGATGTTAACGATCTCTTTCTAAAGGCCATTCGGCTCTTCAATGTTCGCACCCAGTACAAACGAGACCATGAAAGAGTTTCACTCCACCAACGTTGACCTCGAATCCTTCAGTGTTTCCATCTTCGTTCTCGGCTATGCTTTCGGACCTTTGATCCACGGACCATTGAGCGAGCTCTACGGGCGGCTCATCCTGTACCACGTCAACTCCCTTCTCTTCATTCTAGCCAATGTTGCTTGCGCACTGTCGGTTTCGTTACCGATGCTCATCGTCTTTCGTCTCATCACTGGCCTCGTTGGCTCTTGCCCGCTGGCCATTGGTCCAGCTAGCGTCTCGGACTTGTTCGTCCAGGAGGAACGAGGCAAGGGCCTTGCCGTCTGGAACCTACCGGTACTCCTGGGTCCGGCCATTGGGCCGTTGGTTGGAAGCTACCTATCAGCGGCCACTGGGTGGCGGTGGAATTTCTGGTTTCTAGCAATTGCGGTATGCACTCGCGAGTTTCAAACTTTTACCAATTATAGTTCATCACTGATAAGACGTGTAACAGATGGGAGCGATCTACATCGCTGCGCTACTCTTGCTTCGAGAAACTCACTCACCAACGCTACTAGAATGGAAAGCTCGAAGACTGCGCAAGAGACACGGAAACCCGGAAATCTCATCCATCTTGGCATCCACAAAGTCTCCTCGGGCCACCTTCCTGAACGCAATTATTCGACCAACCAGACTTTTCGTCTACTCACCCATTGTTCTCACTCTTTCTATCTGCGCCGCAGTCAACTACGGCTTCATCTACATCATTTTCACCACCATGACCTCGACATTCATGAGCCGGTACGGGCTAAGTAGAGGCAATGTGGGCCTCACTTACTTAGGCTTCGGCATCGGGAACATTGTAGGGAACGTAACTCTCGGCGCTCTTTCTGACAAGCTTGTGAAAGCAATGGCCGGTAAAGGAGAAATGAAGCCCGAATACCGACTTCCACCGTTGATACCAGGCAGTCTTTTGGTACCTGTCGGGTTATTTTTGTACGGGTGGACCTTGGAGTACAACGTTCACTTCATGGTCCCTCTGGTTGGCACCTTCTTGGTGGGAGTCGGCACCATTCTCATCTTCATGTCCATCAACTCATACTTGGTCGATGCCTTCACCGAACACGCAGCCAGCGCGGTTGCCGCGAGTACCGTATTGCGTAGTCTAGGCGGAGGCTTGCTCCCGCTCTGCGGGGGCAAGCTATATGAAGCCGCGGGCGATGGATGGGGCAATTCGATTCTTGGGTTCATTGGAGTCGCTTTTGTCCCTGCCGTGTGGCTGTTGTACAGGTTCGGAGAACGACTCAGATTGAGTTCTCGCGTCTAGACAATGCAAAACGATGTACCTCAAAAAAGAGCATTTGATGTATTTATACCGTTTCGGTGATTGAAAGACAGCGAAAATTCAAAAGGGTGAGGTAGCTTAATATAATTGTCTTTCTGCTGTCTGCTAGGCTGTAATTCCATTACGTCTCCTTCCTCACAAAATAAGGACCGTCAGAGCCGAGATAGTCTCACATGAAAAAGCCCTATCGCTGTCCTTCTTCAAGACAACCTCCACAGCCTCCCGTCTTTTCACGAGCCAATGTAGAGCCGCCAGAGCGGCATGGCAACCAAGATAATTCGAATCCCAACCCCCAAAAATCAAAAGAATTCCAACAAGCCAGATTCAAACCCTCAATCCTTACAACCATCCTTCAACGCTTGGTTAACGACGCAATTAGTCCGCCAGCAACTCCATCAACCAATCCGCTGACTCGAGCCGAGCATCGCCCCCAGGCGAGCCGCAAAAACAGAGCCCCCTGGTCCAGCATGCTGTCAGCCAGCACCCCAATAGCACGGCGTTCTGTGTCTGAGTTTTACCTGGATTTCTCTTCCCCAGCGCCTTTGCTCTTCTCTTCTCTAGCTTGCGAACGCGTCTCTTCTTCGAGTCTACCTTTGATAAACCTCTACGTACCGGCGGTACCGCATCGGTGGTCGCAGAAGCAGGCGCCTCCCAGTATTGACTTTGCGAAGGAGGACGGCTGAGGTCGACGTAAGACAGCTCTCGTTCGATTTCTTCCACGCTCTCGGTGCTTTCGGTAATCTCGGCGGTCGTCTCTATGGCTGGCTTTTCCTTTCGAGTAAACTTCGCTCGCAGGTTCTCGCCAAACTTGGTTGCTACCTCAGGAGGTATATGCTGCCGTGCTAGTGGAGAGGAAACCGTGTCAGCTGAGTCGACAGCATCGTCATTGGCAGCTCTGGCATCGTAGGTGCGAGGTTCGTCCTCGGCTATCTCGAATCCGTCATACACAATGTCGTCCTTGCGGCCATCGGCTTCGGCGAGATGGACCAGCAGATCCTCATTCTCGCTGTCGTAGTCACTGGTGAGACTTGATACAGCAAGATACGCTTGAGAATGAAGAGCGGAAAGCTCCTTATTCACCGGCCGTGTTCTGGGTCTGTGGGGTACCGAGCCATCAAGGATCAGGTTGTTCTCCTAGGAATGAACCGTGAACTTGATGCCCGCCGCCCGGCCCAGCTTCCTGACGAACGGAATGCACTTCCCTGCGGCGCTGAGGTGTACCACAGGGGGCTCTGCTGATGTGAATCTCGTAGTGTGGCGCAAGGCCTTGGTCGCGGAGGCGTTTGCGAAGCCGGCTTAGGTCCTTCAGGGAGATGTCGTGACTGTCTGCCGGCTCAATATTGTGGGCAATCACCATCGCATAGACCATGTATGTGGCGAGTTTCTTCTCGATGTGACCTGCTCTCCAATTGCCGCAATTCTCTGCCGTCATCGGCTTGCCTGCACCATCGTAGAACGTTCGCAAGTTGAGACCGAGGTGTCGAGCCAGTCTCTTCACTCGTTTGTGCCATCGCGCGTGGTAGAGAAAGTTGTCCTTCGACTCCCGGAGGGGAATGAATGAAGTCCCGCTCACGGCGAGCTTGAGAACATCCAACGAGGAATCTGCACCCCGAATCGCGATGAAACCCAAGGTTTTGGTGGCGAACTTATGCTTCACTTGGGTGTCTCCTTCCTCACCACGATACTCGACATTCCCGATACACCGTAGCAATCGGAAGTCGGTCCCGGCTTGCCTGTAGATGAAGTCACCTTCTTCAGTTTCCCAAAGCGCGTACTCGGTATTCGCTTGCTTGTCACTCAGCTGCGTTCGGCCTGGATCAACTTCTTGCAGAGCGTCGAAATGAGGGCGGCCATCCACCATTCGCTTGAAGAAATAGATGTTTCTGGGCGGTTGGAGAAAGAAATCATCATCGGTGACAGGTTCTCTCTTGACGACGGTCTCGATGCCGTTCTGTTCCGGCTTCTTCAAGCCTGAGTTTATTATGCGATCAATCGTGTGTGGCAGACTTTGGCGGTGGACTTCAACGCTAGGTACCGCAACGTCGCAAGATCTTCTCTCCAGGACGATGGCTGAAAAAGATGTAAATCAAGTGCTTGTGTGTGGCAGAGAGACAAGGTATCTTACCTGGATCGGGAGAGCTCCGTTCCCTACCAGTCCTGGCAGCACCTTGAGCGGTGGAGCGCACGATGTAGTTCATGCTGTTTTCTTGGTTCGGCAAGTGTCGATCAGAAGAAGGCTTGAGATTTGGGTGACAAGGCGTGCGTCCCAGTAAGATGAATTGGAGTTGGAGAGGGGGCCCAAACTCTGAGGAAAGCCTTTCCACATGGACTTTTGTGTCACGTCAGTGATGTAATTAGGATATTGAGGAAAAGCAGTGAAGGAGAAGTTGGGCGAGTCGCGCGCGCGATAGTTGTGAAAGCTAGGCGAAGGAAGGAAGGAGGCTATGAGACATGAGATAGCTTACCGAGCAGACCTGATAAGTCAATAACATCAGAACCGAGACAAGGATATGAAGCAGGAGCGGCCAGGTCGTGAATGAAATGCCCGTGGAAGGACGAGGAAAGATGGTATTCAATCTGGAGGAATGGGTTCAATGAGCTGTTGCGGTTGCGTATACGAGACCCAATCCGTGTTTGTGCGCAATTGCGGTGCGTTGCGGGAAAGACTGGTCATGTAAAGGGAATGTCGACCGGCTCATGAAAGGGACAAGGATCGGGAGGATGTAAAGCTGAGATGTGAATGAGTTGAGGATTTTGGAATCAGGCGGCACGGGATGGCAAGCCTGGAAGCCCGGGTGACCGTGGACGTGTTGTTGACCGGAGATATTCAATCTGAGACTGGCGTCTTCAGTTGGCTGAATTGAAGTAGTGATGAGTGAAAGGATCACTCGCTGCGAGAAGGAGGGTGCCACCGCGTCAATCACGAGCGTACCGGCGAGGGAGTGGTTCAGGGTGAGATTGGATGGTGAAAAGGGTACGGAAGTCGATCACATCAACAAGCCACGCGTCAACTTACGAAGCATCGTGTCACGCAGGAAGGAGCGACAGCAGTGAGTAGACGACGTGAGGTCCGACGTGAATTCTGCGGGGCGTGTAGCGCACACACTACATGTCAAGAAAGTATCAAAACACCAGGTAAAGACGGAACTTGAATTTGGGTGTGGTTCCAAATGTTGCAATCATGAAACCCGTAATCCATTTTCAGACGCCTAACCCAATGCCCATTGCCGTAGCCATGACCCGGAACCTCATTTTATTTTACCGCAAACAACTTTTTAAATCGTGTTGGGGGAATAATTTACTCGTCATCCTCCTCCTCCTCAGCCTCAGCGGTGGTCTGGGCGATACCTATTATGATACGTTAGCGTGGATGTTCGTTGAGATCCATGTACAGATGGCCAAAACTTACGGTCCAAATCACGCTGGCCGGACTGGGTGATGCGGCGGCCACCCTTCTCCTCGTCCTTCTCGAGGACACCGATCTTCTCAAGAGCCTGGCAGATCTTGCGGTCGACGGAGCCGGAGGCGTCAACGTGGTGGGAGGGGCGAACACCGCGGTTCTTGGCGGAGCCGTGGACCTTGCGGAGGCGGCCGACACCGACGGTCTTGCGGACGTAGATGTGGCGGGCGACGGAGGCGGCGCGGACGTAGAACCAGTCAATGTTCTGGGGAGGGAGCTCCTTGGCGGGGCCGGTCTTGACGATATCAACCCAACCTGATGGCAGTAATTGGTCAGCGACGAGTTCTTGCACGAGGAATGGACGTTGGGGATTAGACGTACCGGGGATGGGCAGCTTGCCCTGACGCTTCAAGAAAGCGGCGTACGCGTTGATGAACTTCTGCGCCTGCACCGGAGAAAAAGATTACCAATTAGCATAATTCCGTCATCAGAAGTCTTTCGACTCCCTCGCGCCTGCTCCGTTTCCTCAAATTGTGTATCCCTGCTCTCCCAATTGTATTCCTCGCCGACATGTCCTCCACAACTCTCAATGAGCCCGGCCTGCTTTGCACGTCCTGTCGTCACTTCGTATCTCTCTTTCCTCCCCCATGTGTCATGGTTGCGACATCCGCAAGATGCACCAAGAGGGTCTTCGGGGGGTACTCGCGAGATCGTGACCGGAGTGCATTATTGGCGCAATGGGCTTTCGAGGATGTGGCGTGGACAGTGCGGTGTCATCGGAGAGTACTCTTGTGATGATCTTGGTCGCAATTCGAGTGCTCGAAGAAATCTTGCGATTTTTCGTTCTTGGGTCCGGGCTGAGAGGTCTCCAGATGGAGAAGAACGTGGTGTTAACCTACATCGACATCGCGAACGTTGATTCCACCGGCCATTTTTGCGGTATTGGTTGGGTATTGGGGGGAGAGGGGTGGACTGGGTGCGGCGCTGGGCGATAAATTTGGCGATGAGGTCGGTCGGTCAACAAGTCGAGAGGCGCAAATGCACGAAAGTTGCGATGGTAAATTCTTGGTGGTTCCCGGAGCTTGGTGCAGGGCTTTCTGCCCTGCGGGGCGATAGATCACGTGCAACATATATCCAAAAATGATTTTTTTGTTCACCACACTGAGCTGTCGCTGACCCTCGATCAGGTCCGAGCGCTGATTAGCTAATAATCCAAGGCGCCCCACGTGGTTCCAACGATCGACTCAATGAGGGGGGCTCGTGCTCGAGACCAGAGCCTCACTCTGATGACAAGGATACGCTATAAGAAATCATCTTCATAAGTCCATGGTCACGGAAGCCTCTAGCCTCTCGTCATATCTTGGGGTGCCATGAAGTAGTGGCCTCAGGCGTCAGGGCCTAAGGTACCTTATGGTCAACGCTCATCACATCGTCCGAGAGCAAGCTAACATGCAATCACAGTATCACCAGTGTCAGGTTAAAGTTCAAAGCATTTCTGATCGCAAACACTCATTCTATCACTATTCCATTATATGCCTGACTGAGAGGCTTATGCAAAACTCCTCCTAATGCAAAATCCAAAATGCCTCCGAAAGTAATGTTCCACACCGTGCACTAAACACAGGCTCACCGACCCAGGTATCATTTTCACCAATTGCCCCCATAATCCGTTTACCATTTCCAGTTCCTTTTTCACAAGTTCTACATCGTTCGTTTGCACACAACGTCCGTCATGGTCAGTCCGTCACACCTAGGCCCAGTTGGCCAAGACAGCCATCACACCAGCACCGAGCGCGACACAGCCGAACGCAAAGAGCTGCACCTTGAGCGGTGAGTTTCTCATCTGCGGGTTGAACATGAACTCGTGGGCGAGCAGCTCGACCAGGCCCGTGTACATCAGGATACCGGCACTGATAGAGTCGAAGATTCCGTTGACAAGAGTCTGCGTCTTGGCGCTATTCGGCTGAGCGGCGATACCAACAGCAATAGCGATGGGTGTCGACAGGCCGTAGATGATGGCGAGAATGTGAGGCCACCAGCGGCCGTGGGAAGGCCAAGTGGCAGTGGCAAGACGAGAGCCCAAACCGAGACCCTCGAAGAACTGGTGGAAAGTAAGGACGATGAGGAGAACGACGAGCTCGTCGCTGGTGGCGAGGACGAGTCCAATGAAGATGGAGTGGAACACGACACCGAATTCGAGAATGAAGATGGCAATCAACTGGCCAGCGAGGCCGTTGTGGCTATCTCCTTCGGTGTGGTCGCGAGCATGGCCGAGATGATCCCTTCCACCGGGCGGGTAGCTAACGTCGTCTGGAAGTCCAGGCACCTTCTTGGGGTCGACAAAGCCAGCACCTCTCTCAGTGTCGACGTCGTGGGGGCAAACCTCGGTAGCGCTCGTCCCATCGGTCCCAATATCCTTGGTCTTGGTGGCCATGCTGTTGCTGTGGCCAAGTTCGTGGTCGTGGCTACCGAAAGCAGACGAGGCGACATTGGACGCGATCATCTCGATAAGGAACATGACCATAACGGTCATCAGGCCGATGGCGAAAGCCCAGTCATAGCTACCCAGCATCGGCTCCAAGCACTCGTTGTGCAGGGCCTCGACACCAGGGGCCAACAGATGCATCCAAGCGGTTGCGATAATGACACCGGTACCGACATACTTGAAGATGAAGAAGGTCATCTTGGGAACGTGCATTCTGGTGGTCCTGGCCAGGAAGATAGGGAGGAAACCACCAAGCATCGAAGCGACCATGATGATGAAGATGGAGGCGATACGCAGTCCCTTGTTGCTGACATCGACGGCAGCGGCACCGCACTCGTTGACGGCATCGGCACCGGAGCCATCATCCTGGCGGAGGGCGAGGAGCTTCGCCGCTGACATTTCCAAAGGATTCATCTTTGCTGATTTTCCTGCTGAATACGTTACAGATGCTGGCAGAGCCTACGACGGGTGCTTGCTTTAAGGCTCTGGCTTTGGGTCACCGTAGAGAGGTAAGTACCCGGAAGGCTGTGACAGCAAGGTGGACGAGCTCGAGGCACCACCGGTGGTACAGGTTGGAGCAACGGCTTCTTGATCGACCGGGGATATGTGTCAAGTGCCGGCGTCCTAGGTTCGAAGCCTGTGCGTCTCCGAGAAACTGGGTTGAGCGGCGGCTAGATGCGTTTACCAAGGTGATACGACAGGCCAAAGTTGTCGGATAGTCGCAATGCGATGGCGACAGAGGAAAGTAAGGATGAGCTGAAGGGCGGCAGGGCGAGGTGTGCGTCCTGGGAGATGGATCCTCGAAGGTCTTGGCTCGCAGCTTGGCGTCTTGGTAGATGGAGAGGGTTGAGGCTCCAAGACAGGCGCTGGGCAGTATATATCATGCGCCAAGTGCAGGGAATACTCTGATGGAGACGATGAAGAATCGGAATTCTCTTTGTCGATTCTCGAAGAGGGAAAGGGCGAGTGGGCTGCGGTGTTTGCGCGGCGTGGGACGGCGTTGCAAGATGTGTCGAGAACCCGGATGGTCGTCGGTCGCGGAGGGGGGTTAGGATGGCATAAGAGGACGGAGGGACCCCCCGCTTAAACAACCAGGGTGGACTCGACGAGGACGGAGGAACCACAAAAGCAAGCGGGAAACCCGGCACCTTGCAGAGCAAAGGAAGAGAAAATATCTTGTTTCGGTTCTACTGTCCGGTGGTGGTTTTTCTGTGGTTCTTTGGTATGGCGCGGCTGATCAAAGGGAGACGTCAAGGTGGATTGTTGTGTGCTGTTTTTCTTTGGGACCCTCGATTGATGTTCTATCGCATGGC